AAGAAATTCCTGCATTTTTATTTGAATTTTTGGCACCTATAAAGTCTAAAATGACGAAATACATAAAAATATCTCGCGAGATTCATGGCTGACGAAGTTTTGTGAATATAATACTCACATGGTCATATGTGCATTGAACCAACGCGTTAACACCGAGTTCTCTCTTCAAAGCGGCCTCTGTTGGCTTGATCTGCAGCAAATTAAAATTGCAAATTTAATTTAATTCATGAATTTAATTTTACATTGATGTATATACATATCTATTCTTTTATAAACATAGTGTTGAAAGATAAATCGAAAAAATATTTCGTACATTATAAGTCGCGGTATGGCTTGGTACAATTCCTTGGTTGGCCAATAATCTAAAGGGAATTAAACGTTCATTACTGAAAGTGAATTTTCATGATAAATTGTATATGTCAGTTTCGTATGAAAATGAAAGATACTTACGTTTGTCCGTTATATCGTGTATACAGATCCAGAGCTTTAGAAAAATATCTATACTCTGTAGAAGTTACGTTGAGTGAGCTGGCGCAAGTTCCGTGTTTACTCCATTCGTGTTCCCTGCGAAAAAAAATGCATTTTTCGTTTCTTTTTTCTTTAACAATATTGCTTGGAGGGTGTTATTTGATCCATTTGAAGTTAGACAACTAAATTGAATTTTTGATGACCAGATAAAATAATCACAGTTTTCCAAACTCTTGTAGGAAAGTGTATGTATTTCGGGAGAAAGGGGATACTTAAGATTTTTGGTTAAATTCGGCAGTACTGAGTATGCAAGACCTACCAGAAACTGTATTCAGAAGTGTCGGAGTACATGTTTGGCCACAAAATCTTCAAATGAGGAAGAAGCACCTGTAATGAATAAGACACTGATATGATTGATGTTTACAGGTAGTGGATGACAAAAAAATTCAAAGACAGAAATAGTTTTGAATCTTCAGATCCGACTGTGTTTTACTTCAGCATATTTCACAATGCGTGTTAGGAAAAAAGTTCCTGTATTAAGTAAAGAGATTGGGAGTGTGACAAAGAGATGCTCACATTTTACGGTTTCGTAGATTTTTCGAACTTTTGTATGTTTTGGCAAACAATTTTTTTTAGATGCATTATTCAGTTTTCTTTGATAAATACCGAAATGGCGTCCGTATTGAAAGGTTGGGTTCCACAGCTTGTCGGCCCCTCCGTTCCCGTCTTTGTAGGCCTGCAAAAAAGTTTAAATTTTGAGTTAAAGATTCAACGGAGAAAAAATGTATATTTTATGAAGGATACACTTTGTGTTATAAATTGCAGATGTGAAATCAGGTGCCTAGGAGGAGTAAGCACCCCCTGTTGACCCGTCATACCCGCCGTGAGCCCTGTGTATTGATAATGTAGACGGAACTTTTCGTAGTCAAATTCAGTATAGAAACAAGATGTGTTTGTGAAACACGGATGCCCCCGTATGGCAACATGATAGCAAAGATTAAACTTTTCTTAAATACAAATTTAATATATTGGTACCAAAAACAGGGTATTCTCAATGGAAATACTAGTACAATTGTGAAATATGAAGTAGGCCAAGGTAAAAAGTTTTTCATAAGTACAAAAATCTCCAAGGTCAAGGTCAAAAGGTCAAGGTAATTGATATCCAATGAAAAGTCTTGCCACAACAAATACATATGTAAAGTATGGAAGCCCTAGCCCTAACTGTTCAGAAGTTATGACCAAGGTTAAAAATTTTTAAAAGAAGGTCAATCTCCAAGGTCAATGGATCAAAGGTCTTGCTGTCAAATGAAAGGTCTTTTCACAAGGATTAAATATATTAAGTATGAAAGCACTAGCCCTAACCCTTAAAAAATTATGCTCAAGGTTTGCTTTTTAAAAGTATGTCAAACTCCAAGGTCAAAGGGTCAAAGTTCTTGGTATCAATGAAGGGTATTTTTACAAGGATTACATATTATATGAAGTATGAAAGCTCTGTCCCTTACTGTTTAAAATTTATGTCCACGGTTAACGTTTTTTCACAAGTACAGAAATCTCCAAGGTCAAAAGGTCAAGGTTGTTGGTATCCAATGAAAGCTTTTTCAACAAAAAATACATATGTCAAGTATAAATGTCCTGGTATCTACTGTTCAAATGATATGGCCAAAGTAAAAGTTCAGAATTTTTGTGTAAAAGTAGGTCAAACTCCAAGGTCAAGGTCAAAAGTTCAAATTTGGTGGAACCCAAAGAAAGGTCTTGTCACAAGGAATATACATGTGAAATATGAAAGCCATAGCTCCACTAAATCAAAAGTTATGGACAAGGTTAAATTTTTTGCGGACAAACAGAGATACAGCTAGACAGACAAACAGACGGACGCACACGACAAAAACTATATACCCCCGAAACTTCGTTTACGGGGGCATAACAAATACTTAACAAGTAGTATGAAACAAGTCAGCCATAATACGACGTTATGATAGCTTAAGTTATATTTGCTAACAAGGTCATTATAACGACCATAGAATTTATAAAACTTAAACGAGGTTCTTAAAATCCCTGTGACATATGTTTGGAGACACAAACACCAAAAATAGGTCATTGTGGAATATTACTTAGTTACTACATGTTCAAATTGCCAAAATTATATGTACCGGATTTAATCACTCGTACCAAATAAAAAAAAATAATAAATAAAAAATGGTAATTACCACATTCCATGTATACCCCAGCCCTGCACACCTTGTGGGATAGAACAGGAGTGATGCTGTCAAGTAGAAAAAAATATATGCCAACATTGCTGTCAATCTGGCATGAGGTCCATGCCATATATATACATGTATGCTGAATAGTAGTATCAGCAGACGCGGATCCAGGATTTTTTGATATGAGGATAATTTCCACTGCATAAATTACAGGGACCGATGATTCACCCCAGGAAAAATTACCCCCACCCCCACCCACGAAATCTCTTGAAATGCTAAAAAAAAGACATAATCTCCTTCCTCAAACGTTGAAAACCTTTTTTTTTTGGGGGGGGGGAGGGGTAGTCATTAACTTCTTTGAATTTTCAGACCAACTTCACACAAATCTGTGATATGTGATCCAAGGGCATTTTTGGTTGGGTTGGTATATACATTTAATAACTCTGCAAATTCCCCATTCCCCCTCTAGATCCGCGCATGTATATCTTTTTATAATTTTACATCCCTAGTTCCCTTCTACAAAAGATTAGTACAGTAGATAGTTCTGAATTGTTATTATGCCCTCCTTTAAAGAAGGGAGGGCATATTGCTTTGCTGCTGTCTGTCGGTCGGTCTGTCGGTCCACTTAGTTTCCGTTCATTTTCTTCGCAACCGTTGCACATACTGAAATGAAATTTGGAATACAGATATATCACATGAATATCTAGGTCAAGTTCTGTTTTGGGTACTATCGCACCATTTTTGTTAGAGTTATGCCCCTTGGACTTAGAAAAATTCCAATTATTTGCAGTTTCCGTCCATTTTCTTCACAGGGGTTGAACATAATGAAATGAAATTTGGTATACAGATATATCACATGAATATCTAGGTCAAGTTCTGTTTTGGGTACGTTTGTACCACTTTTGACAGAGTTATGCCCCTTGGACTTAGAAAAATTTCAATTATTTGCAGTTTCCGTTCATTTTCTTCGCAACCGTTCAACATACTGAAATGAAATTTGGTATACAGATATATCACATGAATATCTAGGTCAAGTTCTGTATTGGGTACGTTTGCACCATTTTTGACAGAGTTATGCCCCTTGGACTTAGAAAAATTTCAATTATTTGCAGTTTCCGTTCATTTTCTTAGCAACAGCTTAACATACTGTAATGAAATTTAGCGTACAGATTTATCAGATAAATATCTAGGTCAAGTTCTGTTTTGGGTACGATTGCGCCATTTTTGACAGAGTTTTGCCCCTTAGACTTAGAAAAATTTCAATTATTTGCAGTTTCCGTTCATTTTCTTAGCAACAGCTTAACATACTGTAATGAAATTTAGCGTACAGATTTATCAGATAAATATCTAGGTCAAGTTCTGTTTTGGGTACGATTGCGCCATTTTTGACAGAGTTATGCCCAATGGACTTAGAAAAAATTCCAATTATTTGCATTTTATTTGCAGAGGTTGCACATACTGAAATGAAATTTGGTATACAGATTTATCAGATAAATATCTTGGTCAAGTTCTGTTTTGGGTACAATCGCACCATGCCCTTTTGGACGTGGAAAAATTCCAATTTGGGGGGAGGGGGGCATAAGTGTTTTACAAACATCTCTTGTTTTTGAACACTATATGTCATGACCACGGCTCATTGTATACTAGTGCTAGTATCTTAACGGTCAAAGTCATTGTATGGACATTACTTTGATAATTTATTTTGGTCCATATCTTATAAGTCACATGCAGATAAGAATGACTGGACACTTAACATTATAGTTGTCTCACAGCCATACACACATAGTGTGTGCCCAAAGTCCCTGACCTTAATTTAAGAATTTACATGAAATGTCAAGGTCATTCCGGTAACACACTTTTTTCAATGTTCTAACAAACCTTAACATTTTTTCTTCATCATTTAAAATAATGCATTACCTCTTCCTTGCCCTTTATGCAAACGGCTACAGGCCACTCCTGTGTGTACGTAAAAATGTCCCATTCATCTGAGTACGCATATCTACAAAGACCATTGTTGCATACATTGAATAAACTAAATTTTAAGTTGGGAGGGGGGTATCCTGTTAGGAATTCCAAGTCGAGTAAAACAAGAAAGTCTCCAAAGTGATATTATTAAAGGGGACAATTATAAATTAGCATACATGTATATATATATATATACATTTAGAAATATTGCCTCCTTTCGGTTCCTCAATAAAATAAATATAAGATCATCGGAACTCCAACAGGACAACTAATATAGACGAATATATAATTGTTAAAATAAAATAAGTATTGAATCATTTGTATAGATATAAAATGCTCATTCCATACACTGTAGAACATAGTACAAGCAACAACAGCATTGTCATCTTGGATCTTCTCCTGAAATTATAGAGAAGCGAAGTCTTGATATATGGATTTAAATATGATTTTTTTTTAGATTAATGGTCGCTAAATTCCTATTTCTTAGCGTAGGAGGACTGTCCAAAATTAAGTTTATGGACACATCCATTTTATCTCTCTCTCTCTTTCTTTCTTTCTCTTAAACAAATTCCGATTTACCAATATTTCAGCAATTTTTAGATATGGAATGATTTTATATTGATGATGTTTCAAAAGTGATAAACTTAAAAATATGACATGTGTAAATTGATTTCAAAGATTCACATGTCCCTACCTTGATACAGCTCTGATAAACTATGATAAGAATATTTGTCTCATATATACGTGAACAGTCACGCGACGAAAATTCCAAGAGATAAAAGTTGCAAAACAAAACATGTTTAGGTTATGACGTTTTTACAGAAACCTTGAAGCTTTTTTCCTCCAATAATAAAATTTAGTTGAATTAAATTTTTTTTTTATAAACATCCATTAAAAAAAAGCTATAGAATAAGATCGGTGAGTTTGTACATGCATCTACATGTATTTCCAAATTGACTTTCAATGAATTTTTAGTTTTCTGCTTGCATCAATCACGTTCTTATTGGAGGAGAGGGGCTTTTATTAAATAAGTACTTTTCTATTTAAGGAATGACTCTAATTCTTGGCCAGATTATCGAGTATAATATGGTTTGGGTCAGTTTACGCTTTTTTATAATCCGCGAAGCGTAAACTGACCCAAACCATATTATACTCGATAATCTGGCCAAGAATTAGAGTCATTCCTTAAATAATTTAATTTTAAAATAATTAAACAACTGGGGATGTAAAATTGTGTTGTTTTTATTAGTTCAAATTTACCGCGCAATAATACAACCGATGGGAAGCAAGGGGAGGTAAAAACTGATACATAGATCTAGCAGCCATGATGCTTGTTTACACAGTCTGACTAAAGCCAGCCCCTACTATATCACTTCGAAGTGATATAGTAGGGGCTGGCTTTAGTCAGACTGCTTGTTTACATGAGGTAAGATCGAGCAACTGTTTGAAGTTAAAGGTACATTCATTAAATCTGGAATTTTTCATGAATCCGAAGGACTGGAAATGAGGGGATTGATGGATACAGATGATTCAGCTGGTTGTCAAGGGGGTGTGTCCCCATACCAAACCAGATTATACAAAATGTTATGCGTTCCTTTTTGGAAATCAACCAGTGAGAGACAAGAATACAAACAGAATTAAATTATATATAATTGATACACGTATTTTTGTTCTTATTTACTGAAATTGCATATATTATTGTAAGATATTATAAATTTTTTTTATAAGGAATGTAGCAATTCAAATGAATATATTGTCATTATTGGACTTTTACGAGAAGCACTGACTTTAACTGTTGACTGTTTACTTGGACATTTAAATAATTCACATCTACGGAGATTTGATAATGGATAATGGAAAAGAAAACCTCTCTGTTGAGCATGGCAGGCACGTAGCAATAGGGGGCCACCCCCCCCCCCCACTTTTTTCCCAACATAACTTTTACTATTGGAAATGTTCATTGAAAGGCAGGTTGCCCCCCCCCCCCCCCCCCCGCACTTGATACTACAGGAAGTCGATATTAAGGAAATGTACTTATGAATGTAAGAAAAATTGTTACTGAAAGAAGTTGACATTGAACAAGGTTGCCCCCCCCCCCCCCCCCCCATCCCACCACCACCACCACCACGAAGTAGGATTTTCGAGTTTGGACAATTTTTTTTTCGATTTTTTTTTTTTTTCGCTTGTCAAGTTTTTCGGGTAAGTCAATTTTTTTTCTCAGGCTGGCCCCCCACTTTCAAAAACGATGCTACGTGGCTGCATGGTAATGGTGTTAGGGACACTTGTGTGTGAAGTCCTGGAATTGAGGGTAGGATGGTTGTCCTTTTCGTCAAGGACAACTTTTCTGTGGTTTGAAATACTGGTAACCCGTCATTTTCGTTGAATTAAATGTTGAGCTAAATTATATCACAAAAGAGCTTCCATACACTGTCCTAGTGTAAGAGTAATTTGTCAACCGTAAAAGTCAGCGCTTCGTCCACTAGTCCAACCTGACCACATGAAGGCACCGTGTAATTCATGGACTTATTATTTGGAGCAAGTGGAGTTGTGGATCGGATTTAGGAGTCAACAATCCTGACCAAATAAAAAAAGGGGGGGGGAATGCTTTTGCCTTTACGCAATTTATTTGAAGATCTTATACATTTGTAGACTCCAAAATAGAAAAATGTCCAACCTCATTCATCTCGAAATAGAAATTTTGAGTTTTAGTAGGTAAGTTTTCTTTCTAGTTTTAAAATCGTTAAATATACGGGTCTGTGGTTCAATCATTACTATGAAGAATGTTAGTACTTCAAATTAAAGTTTATGAATGACACTCAGAGTTCCATCCTCAGCCGATCTCACAAGCGTAGCGGAATCAGCCAAGGATTGCCGATTGTACAAATAATGGACAGCATCCGACATAAAATGACTAGAGCGGATGTCATTGGTCATGTCAAACACGTACTTAATTCTGAAAACTAAAAATAATGTATCGGAATATAAAAGAGAAAATTGTACTTCTCAAAACAGGAACTGAGAAGGAAGTACTTCATTAATATAGAATTTGTATATAATAATTTTATTTATTAACGACCATTTTTTATGAAGTGAATATTGATGTTTTTCTTTAAAGTATTTTCACGTTCAAAAAATTAAGTCGAACAAAAAGTTCATTTTAACATAGAATAAAATATCGCCCTGGTCTATACTCTTTTACTACCTAAAGAAAAAGAGAATTAGGAGAACTAGAAGTTTAAGCATCATGCAGTCGATTTATAAAGTCTATACAACCGTCTGTATCTTTCATCTGTTGTGCTTCCAAGTGGAATTATTTTCATGTCAAGGCAAGTTTTAACTACATCTGATACCCATTATATAATATTTTAATGTGAAATGTTTGTTTTACTGAAAACTCATCATGAAGCATATTAGTAAAATGATAACGTAATTAAAGAAATTAAATAAATGTAGATGTTTCAAAATATGACTCTTTAAAATAGATGGAGATTTTAAAGCAAAACTTGTCGACACCGTTTAATTTTAAATAAATTCATTCAGGTATTATAGAACCGACATCTGTCAATGTTCACCTTTTTTATTCTCTAGACACCTCTACTAACCACCATCGAGTGAAACGAAAAATCGAACATTCTTTTGAGACCAAGCATATTGTTGCCTTAAAGCATACGACGAGAATTGATGTTCCAACATTAAAATTTCACTTACGCGGATCCCTGTTCGCAGAGGCGAACAGAGACAAGCACACTGTCATAATTGTTCGTGTATTTGCCACACAAGATAAAGGGTCAAGAAGAATGACTTTCATAGCAAGACTAAATAATGTAATTTCTGCAAAACTGAAAAACAAAGATTGTATAATGAGGGAATATAACCCTAGAAGAAGACCAAACACTTGTTCGAATCCAAGGAATATCGAATATTATCATTGTAGAGTTTATATGGATGAAGTTGAAGAAGGGATAGATATGGTTGAGTTCAATATCCGGAATCAGAACGATTGCAGACTTTCGGACAAAGGATGGTTTACCGTTGGTGTTAGAGTCGACAAGACGAGAACAGGGGTCCAAGCAGGGACTGAATGGTTTTTTGTTGATCATATGCAAAGTTCAATGTTATTTGATGGAAACAGCTGTTAATCACACTAACACTGATATCTATTTATAAATAAAACCAGCAAAGTCAAAGAATTGTGGTCCCCTGGTTTCGGTGTCTTTGTGTTTTTTTTTTTGTTGTTGTTGAAAATTAGGTCAATTATGAAGATCAAGGTCAATGGGTCAGAAATCACAGCATGCTCGATAATATCTTGTCACAGGTAATACGCATGACAAATATGGAAATACTGATCTCTTCTCAATCAAAAATTATGAGAGAAAAAAAATAACATTTCTTGAAAAGTATGTCGAACGTCAGTGTTCAAGGTCACGGGGTAAAAAATCATAGTGTAGTGAGAGATGTCTTGTCACGGATAATATACATGTAACATGTGAAAGCCCTATCTCTTCTAATTAAAAAAAGATATCACCAAGGTTAAACTTTAAAAAGTAGGTCAAACTACGAAGTCAAAGGTTATGGGCTTAAGAACCCTTTCTACACTGCACACTAAAGAGTTCTTATTCTATGCTATTTTCCTGCAATTAGAGTGATCTGCCCTTAGATCTTAATTCTTTAAAAAAATAATTTACAGTATATTAATTTTTAATCGATGCAAATATTTTTTTTACATTTTAAAAGACCTAGATTAATTAATTGAACAGGTTATTTACAGGTATTTTCTCTTTGGAAGTAAACATCACTGATACTGTGCTGTATTTGGACATTTTTCCTGAGGGTAAATGCCACGCACCATACAGTGAAAATTACGTAGATATGCTGAATATTAACACCTTTCTACAATATATTTTTCTCAATGTCTAATAAACATTTTGCACTGGTGTAGAGAGGGTCCTTAAAATTCATAGAAGTATTTAGAAAGGAATTGTCACAGGTAATACCTATAAATAATATGAAAGTCATATCTTTTCTCGTTTAAAAGTTATGGCCAATTAAAGCTCAATTTAAATTTATGTTTAAATTTTTGACAAGTATGTCAAACTTTAAGGTCAGGTGATGGTGTAAAAATATCAAAGTGTATTAAGAAAGGTCTCGTCACAGGTAATACACATGTTTAATATGAAAGCCCTATCTCTTCTCATTCAAAAGATATGACCAAGGTTAAGGTTTTTATGATAGACGAACTGACCCCTCGCTTTCGCGAAAATTGTAATTTACAATTAAGCAAGGTCATTGTAAAGACCAAATATTGCGATATGGCGACTTTATACAAGATACATGTAATTGAAAACCATGTAACATCAATTTGATGGTCTGAAGCTGTCTCGGTTTAAAGACTGATCTTACGCAGAATATGCATTTGAGAATAGAATCAACACTAGATTATGGTGATTGTGGAATAAGGAACGTTGACGGTTGGGAATTTTTAAACATTCTAAAATTAAGTTGTATTTTGTTTTGCTATGTATAGGAATATATAAGCGTAATAACCAGCAAATTACACAACAGATCCAATATGATATATAATTTTGCTAAATTTATACTATTATTCAACATTTTCAAGCTATATTTAAATTATTTTTGACAATTTCCTATGTTTATTTATTCCATGGTCTTCTTTTCGATGAGGTGTAAATATTCTGAAATTGTCAATGCCTCTTAAAGACAAGATTTTAAGTCTCTATATTACATAATTATGACGCTGAAATAATGCAAGGAAGGATGGTACTTATCAATCACACAAGTCAAGATACTGAAGCTCCTATAATATGTATATGAAGTGTGTTTTATATATATTTCAAATTGAGTATAATTATTATAGTTTATATCAGGGATACTCGGCTCTTTTCTATTTTAAATCAAATGAGGAAATCCTTTTAAACAGACCCAACTATATACGTGTGAATATCTAGTAAAAACGAGGCGTAAAAAAGGATGTGCTATCTCCATCATACTTGTAATACCATGCTGTTTTTAGAGATTACATTAAAAACAAATAACAGGTGTCCGTTCTCAGGATGAGGAGATTATTAAAAGAAATCAAAAATTCGAGAAATTCATTTATTGTTGTTTAATTTGATTTCTTTATTTAATTCAGTTTAATTTATATTTAGATTGTTTTAATTTTATTTAGTTTGTTTTTAACTATTAATCATGTCCAATCTGCAACTTTCTTTCCCCTTTAATGCGCCCGGATCGATAGATCAGAGGCATGTATTGTTTTGTCCTGTCTGTCTGTTTATCCCGTTTGTCTGTCTGTTGTCAAGTTTAGCCTTCGTCATAACTTTTGAACCCTAGGTGATAGAGACTTCATATTTGGTATGCATTCTCCATTTAAGTTCTTTCAAATGACACAAGACTCATTGACCTTGTGACCTTGACTGTGATCTATATGCTAAAAATAGCGTTTTCGATCGTTCACCATAACTTTTGAACCATAGGAGATAAATCTTCATATTTAGTATGCATACTCCACTAATAAAGTTCTTTCAATTGACACCAAGATAAATGACCTTGTGACTTTGACTGTGACCTATATGTTAAAAATAGCTTTTTCAAAATTGTTGCCGCCGGTGTAACGTCGAATTTTGACCCGGGTTGAAAATGGACCCGGGGGTCATTTTTCAACGTTGAATACTGAGACCTAAGATGTTGAATTAAGACCCTAGTCCGTTGAAAACTGAGCCGGGTCGTGGAATTTTGATCACGAAACCGGTTCTAAATTCAACAGCATAAAAACACATATTTATGACTTGGTTTCACAACTTCGATTTAATCCATGGGCGTCGGGAGGGGGGTGGGGGTGGGTAGGGATGCTTAGCCCCCCCCCCTTTTTTTGCAAAGATAGACATAATTAATATAGGCATTGAACAAAGTGAAATTGGCTTAACCCCCCCCCCCCTTTCAACAGGCACGTTACAGTGTAGTCAAAGAAAGAAGAGGCAGTGCTTGATAAAAACAAAAAGAAATCGATCCTAACACGCACCCCCCCCCCCCCCCCCCCCCCCTAACCCTTAACTTAAAATGTCCAACTTGAAAAACGGATTTTTTTTTCAAAATAAAACGTTTAGTGACCTTATGGCATAGCTAACCAAACAATTCAAGAACGAACCACACAATACATATTTATTTTGTAAAGTAGAGGTTGGGAGGGGGTGATCTCCCCTTTTTGTGATGTTTCATTTTGCTAATGAAATCTTGTTTCATGATAGATTTAGAGATGATGGTTTCATCAATTTCAATGCTTCTGAGACTGAGACTCTCGATTTCTTTGAACTTGGCAATCAGTGTCATCCGCAAATTAATTAAAGATTTCTTAAATCATGCACTGATCAAAATGTTCATATATACACTGGATGATAGATTTTTTTCTATTACTCTTGGAAAGGGAAAAATTGAAACCGAAATATAATTGTAGAGATACGCGTACTGATAAATCCCATTTAATAACCTCCAAGTTCAAATAATGTTCAAACTCTGAGGTGGGGTCAATTTTCAACAGGGTCAATTTTCAATTTGTTGAGGTCATCAGGGATAAGAAAAAAAGTATCAAGCTGTTGAAAAATGACCCCGGGTATAAATTCAGCGACATTTGGTCTCAATTTTCAATGGAGAAAAAACACCCCTGGTTCAATATTCAACGTTGAAAAATGACCCCCGGTTCAATTTTCAACTCGGGTCAATATTCAACGTTACACCGGTCGGATAGTGTTTCACAAACACATCTTGTTTTTCATTTGATTGCACACGTGTAAATTTGTGAATTTTTTAACTATTATTAATGATATAATTTGATGTAATTTTGGTACTCAGATTAACTAAATATTCGTATATAAAGCTCAATGAATCTGATAACTATATCTTTATTTCGATAAACTCTTTTTAAAAGCCAGTCCTTTTACAGTTTTGGTTTGATTTCAAGGGAAATTGTAAAATTGCATAGACAGTACGTATACAATTTCAATGAGTTACTTGATGAGATTAAGCTCCGCCTATTATGTGACGTAAGGGGTCCAACATCTTATCGACCGGTCGGTCCAACATCTCAGCGGCCAAACATCGATTTTTTTTTTATGCCCGCTCACTCAAACATTAGAAATGTTAGACTTTTTTTCGTGTTCCAATTTTTAAAGGTATAACAACATACTTTATTGTCTTTCGCACTACATGTACTTCCACCAATTTCATAAAAATTAAAACAAACACGTACATGTACGTAGAAACTTATCTCTTACATTATTCACGAATACACTAAGGAGTTAATTAATCTGCATACGGAGTTTATATATCTCGGTTGATTCGATACGCAAGAACATATGGTCTACGTATGTACAATTTCTAAAAGGAGGTAAATTTTTGACAATTAAACAAGATTATGAAACAAGAATATCAACAGTCTTGTAAAAAGTCACCATTTCGTAAGTGCTATAGTCGATACAATGACCTTGTCAGCAAATACAAATTATCATTGAGTCAAATGCTGACTGATGATTTTTACACTAATTGTTAGTCCATTCTTTACACACTGAATTGACGACGGATTATCCATTATTTCCCGATATTTAATTAATATTTTTAAATTATGTGATTTGATAATTTCACTTTTACTATCAATTTTTATGATCCCTTGCTAAATAAGAATACATGGATTGAGAATCTTTAACATTAATATGATGATTTATACCTATTACATTTCATACCAACTTAACACAGGTCCGCGTTTTCGAGGGGGGGGGGGGGTGTCTGCGTTTTCCTCTGGATTCGCGCATGGTTAGAAAAACAAAAGGACTGGCTCTGAAAAAAAAATTATTCATGCATGCAGGTCCCCTAACCGATAAATATTCAACGTTGAATCAATGTTATTTCAACTCACTTTAAATTCAACTTGGAATAAATGTTACGTATTCAACGTCGAAAATTTAACGTTGAATCAATATTGAATCTTGGTTTATCAACGTCTTATAACTACTTCAACTAAACTTCAAAGTTTATTCAAATTGCGTGCCTGTTGGGTCATTATTTATCGTATTTATTTATCTTAAATGTGCTAACCCTACAAATCAGAAAAAAAACAAGATGTGTTTGTGAAACACTGTGCGCCCGGCGGCAACAAAATTTAAAAATATATATATTTTTAGCATAAATGTGACAGTCAAGGTCA